GTGTGTGAGTGTGCCCTCCCAGGCATCTGTGCACACTCAACAGCATGGATAAGTGTGTGTCATGTGTGTGTGAGTGTGCCCTCCCAGTCATCTGTGCACACTCAACAGCATGGATAAGCATATGTCATGTGTGTGTGAGTGTGCCCTCCCAGGCATCTGTGCACACTCAACAGCATGGATAAATGGGTGCCATGTGTGTGCGGGTGTGCCCTCCCAGGCATCTATGCACACTCAACAGCATGGTTAAGTGTGTGTGGGGGTGTGCCGCCCAGGCATCTGTGCACACTCAATAGCATGGATAAGCGTGTGTCATGTGTGTGTGAGTGTGCCCTCCCAGGCATCTATGCACACTCAGCAGCATGGATAAGTGTGTGTGGGGGTGTGCCACCCAGGCATCTGTGTACACTCAACAACATGGATAAGTGTGTGACATGTGTGCGTGAGTGTGCCCTCCCAGGCATCTATGCACACTCAGCAGCACGGATAAGTGTGTGTGGGGGTGTGCCGCCCAGGCATCTGCGCCCACTCAACAGAATAGATAAGTGTGTGCCGTGTGTGCGCACACTCAACAAACGTGGATAAGTGTGTGTGGGGGGGTGCCGCCCAGGCATCTGTGCCCACTCAACAGAATAGATAAGTGTGTGCCGTGTGTGTGCACACTCAACAAACGTGGATAAGTGTGTGTGGGGGTGTGCCGCCCAGGCATCTGTGCCCACTCAACAGAATAGATAAGTGTGTGTCGTGTGTGTGCACACTCAACAAGCATGGATAACTGTGTGTTGTCTTGATCACTTTCTTAAAGATTCCTCTGTCTTAACTATTTCCCTGGCCTCTGCCTTTGGTTTTATTCCTTCCTAAATTTTGTCCCTAAAGATTAATTTCTTGACTGCAGTGAGCTGGATAAAGCAATAGACCTTATTCTGTGTTTTTACTCTCTTTCTTATGTAAACATTGCCTCTGGGGCAAATACTGTGTCTTCCTTGTCTCACACGGTCCCAGACCACCATCCACAATGAACAAATAAATACGCAGTGGATTGGAGTCTAAAATTTACAGAACGGGCTCATCTATCAAGATGCAGACACCGGAGCACAGAGTCAATGATCACAGATTACCCTGCTCTTGCCGGCATTTCAGTGTGTTAGAGAGGCTCACCTCCTCTTCACAATGCTCCCCACCCATCGCCGAAAACCAACAAAACTCACCCTCCCCAAGACGCCAACACCTACTGGATGAGGCACAGCTCATATCTCTTTATAAAAGATGAAGACCCTGGCCTGGCTGGTGTGGCTCAGTAGTTGAGCATCAACCCATGAACCAGAAGGTCATGGTTTGATTCCTGGTCATGGCTCAATCCCCAGCAGGGGGTGTGCAGGAGGCAGCCAATCAATGATTCTCTCTCATCATTGATGTTTCTATCTTTCTCTGTCGCTCCCTTCCTCTCTGAAATCAATTGGGAAAAAAAAAAGATGAAGAGCCTGACCTTCAAGCAGCCTCACTCCCAACCCTGGCGAATGAGCACCCTGAGATGACCTTAGACCGGGGAGTGTTACCACACGGGCTGTCTTACGGATTCTCACAAGACCGTGAGGCAGGGCAGGCAGCATTCCCATTTTAAAGGGGAGCAAACTGACAACTAGAAATGTGAGGTGACTTTTTATCGAAGGGAGGGAGCAAAAATGAAAATAAAATTGAAGCAGAACTGAAAGGAAAATTTAAGGCCAGGACCCTTGCTTGTCTCATGGAACTACTTTCCCGCCATTAGTTAACTCCTCAGCCCCATCTGGTGACAGCAGCCCAGCAGAAATCCACCCTTTGATACTGATAGTACTGAGGTGATCCCAGGGTGGGGAGCGCAAGGGTCAGGGGATCGTGGCAGCAGTGGTAACCTTCTGCCTTATCTCCATGGACCAGAGTTCCAGGCACTGTCAGTGTTTCATTCACCCTTCAGAACAGCCCCTGTGAGAGTTACCGGGTGCCCTCCTCCGCCCAGCGCACGGAGATGCAGAAAGGTCACTCTGCCTCCACCCCAGCATCCAGGTGACCACCTCCAGCCTCTGGCCGGTGCTGGCCCGGTCCCTCCTCAGGGCGGTTTCACTGTGCCCACCAGGCAGGCAGCGAGCCCACCCGACTCTGCAGGCCCAGCTGCCTCCCTGGGGAGGAAACTGAAAGAAGGGAACCCGGCAAGAAGGATAGGGGAGGGGAGAGCTTCCCTGAGGGGACCTCAGGAAATACCTAAAGGGAGGTACCACTGCGGAGGGCGGGGCTCTGCTTGGGTGGCCTGACCAGGGCTGGTTCCCAAGAGAGAGCTCGGGCTGGGAGCAAGGAAGGTGCACACTGATGGTGTCCCCTCTAGCTGCGTCACCGCCTTCAGGCACCGCGTGTCACCTCCTGGCTTACCTCTGTCTGCCCACAGCACAAAGTCTCTCCTTTGGGTTGAGGGTAAAGCTATTAATTTTCCCGTTGTCCATCCAATCTGGGCTCTGGCCGCAGGAACTTATCCCCAGGGGCTTAGCAGGGACAAGTCACATGAGACCCACTGCCAGAGCTCTGCAACTCCACTTTTGGGAAACAGTCCACCACAGAGGGCACACGGGGCCAGTCTGCCAGTGGACCCTGGCTTCCTGGTGGCCAGCGTGTGGAGCGTGGTTAGAGCACCTGCTGGAATGCACACGTGCTGGTCCTAACTGCATCCGTTCGCTGGGACCCTGTTCCACATGCTCCTCCCGGGGTTCCAGTTCTCACATCTGTGAAACAGTTGGGGCAGCAGGCCGGCGGGAGCATCACGGCCCCTGCCGTTCAACTTGTGGAATTCAGGAATCAAGTGGGACCGTGGGCTTTTAAGGACCTCAGGAATCCCCTTCATCTCCTCAATTAATGCTTATTACTTGAGTGATAATAACGGGTAAAACACACAGACAGAATTGCTCTGGAAATTATGGAAACACCATCCAAACGGAAACAGCATCCAAATGGTATTACCTGAGCATAGATGGCAATTCACAAGCAGACCCCCAGGCTAGTTGCTCTTTTAGAAATAGGAAGGGAGAAGGGAGGATAAGTCAGACCCCAGACATGGAGCTGTCAGCGTGCTTGATGTTAAATAAAACCTACCAAGACTCAGCTGAGAATTTTAGCAGAATCCAAATGTGCTATATGAAAAAAAAGGCACGGCTCCCATCTCGAAGGTTCACAGCTAAGCTGGCTTAGAATCACACATGCCAAGGTTAAAAATAAAAAGCAGCCATCCCTGAAAGACACGGCCTGGGAAGAAGCCTGAGGCGCGGCGTTGGGGGAGCGGGAAGAGGGCAGAGACTGCAGGGCACGGGTGTTTGCTGGACACAATATCTAACGGCCAGATGCCCAGAACGTTGTGATTTTTGCACATAAATAGCACTTCCCATTGGCAAAGGGCTTCATGATGATCTCCAGCCTTTCCCCCGAGGAAACCCTCTGTGCAGTAGAGTGTGACCATGACGGACCCACACAGGGCTCTGCGGGTCCAAGCACTGGCGTCCCCCTCCTGGGGCCGGGCTCCGGCTCTGTCCCTGCTCACCTCAGATGCCCAGATGGGTACCTGTGGGTCACAGCTTGGAAAGCACCGGACCAGCCTTTCTGGGCCACCCTATGCCACTGAGCCAACATAACGGCGCTGGGCCACCCCCAGGCCAGCTATCCCACTGGGCTCTCCCGGAGACAGACAGACTACATGCCTGCCTTTCTCCCGAGCATGGCAAGTGTGCCACCCTTGCTCCCACAACCATGCCCATTGAAGGCCCACCGGCAAGGATGGATGTCAGCCCCTTGCCCCGCTTCTTGCAAATCCAGGGCCCCTATTATGAGCCTAGTGGGGTCCTTCTAATAAAGTTGTCCTTTGCCCAATATACTTAGGACTAATTCCTAATGGGTTTATTTTTATACAAATTTTAAAAATAATTCTCAGCTACTGTGCAATTACCCTCCCCAGTTCCAATCTAGGAAGACCTTTCTAGAAAGTCTACAGGGGGTCAGGGGAATGTGGGCAAGTCTGGGAGCCATGTGTTATGGGGAACCTATACATTATATCTTCCCCAGGATACCCCGATCAGCCAACACATGGGCCAGGCCTACACCTCAGCACCATAAAGGGCTTGGGAGGTACATGGACAGTGGCAGCTGCCACCTTCCAGAAGCTTCAGGCTGCCCCCAGACCCACCAACTTGAGTGGGTCAGCACTGCAGCCAGCGGAGGAGTGGGCTGGCTGCTCCTACAACCCTGGCCAATCTTCATCTGAGCACTCACAGTATCCCAAACTCCCCATCTTGGCGGCTGGTCTAGAAGCGTCACCCAGTTGGCACGATAAAGCAGTAGGAAGACCTGGAGCCAGCCAGGGCACAGGCTGCTTCTGTGCCGTGTGATGGATGAGAACACCGAGGCTCAAAGTGTTTCAGGGATTTGCTCAAGCTAAGCGAGAGCCAAGCCTCAGATCCAGGCGTCCTTTCCCTGTCTACAACCGGGAACTCGGGGTCAGAGGGGCGGGTCTCAGCCCAGCTAACACAGCAAAACCTGGGGCTGGACGTGAGCCTGCAGAAGGGAACCTCCTCCTCCGGCACCTCTGGGTGCCCTCGCTCATCCGGTTGGAACTGTGGGGGCCTCCCCAAGCACAGAGCCCTGTCGCCAAGGTCCTCCTGTTCTACTTTCCATCCTTCTCAGGGCGGAGGCCGGGGGAGGGCTGTGGAGGCGTCCTCCCTGCCCTTCCCTGGGCACCAGACTCCATCCCAAAGGCTGGGCAGGGAGTCGCCCGCTGCCCGCCCTGAATCGGCTAGAGCCCTCCCTTCCCTGCAGTGACAACAGCCTTTGCCATTCAAGAAACCGCGTGTCCAAAGAATCCGAAGTTCTGGGTAACCCCACGCGTGTCAGCCTGAGCCCACACGACCAGCCGGTGACAGGGAGAGAAAACGCAGAGGTGGCTCCGAGCATGAAGCCGGGTGGGGAGCAGGCGCGCGGGGCGGCCCCCTTACCTGTACCAGTCCAGCCCGCGCCCGTAGTTCCTGTCGAAGAAGTGGGGCTCGGTGCCCAAGGCCCGCACGTCCGGGTGCACGCGGATGAACTCCAGCACGGCGCGCGTGCCGCCCTTCTTCACGCCCACGATCAGGGCCTGGGGCAGCCGCTTCGTGCCCGGCTT